AATAATTTGAGTATTTATGATGCCTACTGACAAATTTTCATTCTTTCTAAATTTTGAGACAAAATCCCTTTCTGTAGTCCTGGTTATTTGGAAAATCAATATCTAGATGTTCTGGCCTTAGAGATCCTCCTGCCTCTGACTCCCAAGTGCAGGGGGACAAAAGACATGTACCACTGTAAAAAAATTTTACTTTTATATAGGGTCCAAGAGTAAGATCATACACTATACTGTTCTTTGTGGAATGTTCATGTCCATGGGATCATTTGTGATTATGAATACAGGTGTTTTGGTTTTTACTCAGGAGACTTTTATTATCACATCTAGACCCTGAAATTTTAATTTCCTGTAGTATTCCTTTCATATAATCCTTTGGACATTGTTTCTGGCATACACTTTGTAAATGTGGTCAAAAAATGACAAGATCATTTTATATTCATGCGTGTATTGCAACATTTACAAAAGCTTTAAAAGCAAAGAGACTTGGTTTTAACCAAGCTTTTTATTTTTGGTATGTTAATAATAGTTTTAAATTATGTCAGTTACTTAGGTGGCAACAGTTTTGTGAAGCATGTCACTACCCAGTCCTTTATTTGACAATTCAAGGCGGTTTCCCATACATCCTGACAATCATTGCTGTGACCACTAGTTAAAAAGGTTTTTCACTGAGCCTAGGCAGGTGCAAGCCCCTTCCCACAGCACCAAGGCTGTGCAAGATGTCACATCACAGGCACCGGGTTCCCAAGTCTGCCCATAGACCAAGGACAAATCCTGATCCCCCTGCCTGGGTGCCCCCCAAAGAGTTCAAGCCAAACAACCATCTTCTGTATCCAGATGGCCTAATCCAGTCCCATGGGGGCTCCACAGCCACCGGTCCACAGTTCATGGGCTTCCACTAGTATGGCCAGTCATCTCTGAACATCCTCCCATCATGATCTTGGTGTACTGGGCTCTGCTGACTCCCCATGGGAGACCTAGATTTGGGGGAGGTGGGGATGCCAGGTAGCTTGGGAAAGAGGGCTGGGGATGGGAGGAAGCAGGAGGGGGGATCTTTGGATAGTATGTGGAGTGAGTTGTGGTGGTATTGTGTTTCCCAAAATATTGTTCATACTAATAAACTTATCTGGGGTGAGAGACAGAGCAGCCACAATATTAAACATGAGGATAGGCAGTGGTAGCACATGCCTTTAATCCTAGCATTCCAGAGGCAGAAATCCATCCGTTCAGATACAGCCAAGCATGGTGACTTTAATCCCAGGGAGTGATGGCAGAAAGCAGAAAGGTATATAAGGCGTGAGGACCAGAAACTAGAAGCATTTGGCTGGTTAAGCATTCAGGCTTTTGAGCAGCAATTCAGCTGAGACATTCTGGATGAGGACTCAGAGGCCTCCAGTCTGAGGAAACAAAACCAGCTGAGCATCCAGTGAGGTGAGGTAGTTGTGGCTTGTTCTGTCTCTCTAATCTTCCAGCATTTCACCCCAATACTTGGCTCCAGGTTTGACTTTATTGATAAGATTCTTTAAGATTCTTGCTACAGTGAGTAGAAAATTTCTTAATAAAGAAAAAAAGAAAAAAAAAGTACACATACATGAAAATGAAAAAAAAAAAGGTTTTTTACATCTGTGGAAGTCAGCCATCATCCACCCTCTTTAAAGAATTCATATCTTTAAAGAAGTTAATAAACTTCTACCCTGCCCCAGCATCAAATTCTAGAATGTTCTAAACTTGGACATTTTAATTTTTTCTTTACCTAGACATCATCCCATGACAAGGTTTTAATTCAAACCTTCATTGCTTCCTTTCAAGATGAGCAATCAGGAGGTGATTTATTTGAACTCAAGAGGTTTTGAGTCTTCTTCAGAGTCACAGAATCCAATCAAGCCTAATGAGACTCAAGGTTCCAGAGAGGTTGGCCACAAAGGTGAATGCTCTCCTCCGACTCGCTTTACACACCAGACGTTGAAGATGGTCCTAGCTTTACTGCTGATGGTCAGCTGGTAGTAGGTGATCACAGTGAGAAGTAAAGGCTTAAAAGCTTTTTTAAAATAACCTCTGAGACAGGAAAAATCAACAGTTTAATTTGTTTATCCTTTTGCTGTGTGTTAGTTTTTTATTATTATTGTTGTTGTTTGTTTGAGCCAGGGTCTCCAGTAGCCAGGACCAGTCCTGATTGTGTTATGTAGCAAATCGAGAAACCTTGATTCTCCTAGCACAGCCTCTCAAGTTCTAGGATTGCAGTTGTGAGCCACCTTGCCTGACTTGAATACTTTTTTATAAATTTGAGAATCCATCAGGTTTCAGTTATTTTTTAATAAAATATGGTTTAAAATATTTGGCCTTTAGAAAGAAGAAGCTATAGTCTGAAGAAACACTGAATTTTCTAATGGAATAAAATGTTAAAAACATGCAAAGTATGTGTTAAAAACAAAGCTCTCGGCCATGCATCAGTGGAGTACACTTTTAATCCCAGCGGAGTTAGGTAGATCTCTGTGAGTTCCAGGCCAGCCTGGTCTACAGAGGGAGATCCAGGACAGGTAACAAAACTACACAGAGAAACCCTATCTCGAAAAACCAAATGAAAGAAAGAAAAACAAAAAACAAGCAAACAAAAAAAGAGCTCTTACTAAAATAGGATATTTCAAGTATTTCTTCAAACTTCAATGCCAATCATCAGCAACAGCCAGGTCAGAGGGGAATGGAAATTTTTTGCTCTCTACTTCTCTTGCCCTTCAAATATTGTCACATTTAAACTCTAAACTGAACACTTTTGCTACATTAGTATGGTGATAATCAGATGTGGTACTCTAGAAGTCAAGACCTCAAATGCACAAGGATAAATATCTTATTTTCCTGAGAAAAACAGAATTGATGGACAAGAAAAGAGCTGACTCCTAGGAAGTCTTCAAGGATGGAGCCTTATAGAGTTCAGAACATTCCTACTGGCTCCCAGTTTCTCAAGCCCGTTGCTTGATCTTTCCTTCCTCCTCATGCTGAATTGAGATCTCTTGGTGGGCTGCTAATTGCAATTTGGAGTTTCCTACCTGCATCTTGCTTATCCCTTCAGTGCTTTGTAAGATGAACTTTTGAAACTCGGTGAACCTGGATGAGGCATCTCAAGACTGTCATTTCAGCTATCTGTGAGGCTGAGAGTTCAAGGCTGAATGGGCAGAAATTTTGTGAAGTCCTAAAGAACTGCTTCCATACATAGGCTATAAACAGATGGGTATATGTCATCCAGAAATCTAAAACATAAAGTTTTCATTTTACAATTTATTATACTTTATTAATTATATAAAATAATGGGCTTTATTAAGACTTTTGTATTGCATATAATTTTAAATCCATTATTATCCTATCCTGTTCCCCTTAACTCTGTTACCCTTCCAGTACCTCCTAACCCTCCTACTTTAATGTATTGTTTGTATTGTTTCCTCTCTATTTCATTATTAGTTACATGTTTGCATGTGTGTATATATGCAATTTGTGGTTCCATTTAGTGTTGTTCACATGAGTATGTTTTAGAACTGACCAGTTGGTATTAGATATTCACTTATGGGCTCATTCTTAGGAGAGATTTGTTTTCTCTCTCACCTGCCATCACTTGCCTATAGTTCTTCATCTAGGAGTTGGGTCATGTGGAGATTTTCCATGTCCATATTGGCATGTCCTCTGGTGTTGTGGTTTGGGTGTGTCTTGCTTAGGCTATGAGATTCTTGAGATTGCCTGGGTTCAGCTTCCCTTTCTTGCAGATGTCCTGAGTCTATGTATTCTACAATCTTTTCTCCTTCTCTTCAGAGATGTTCCCCAAGCCTTAGGTGTAGGAGTTGGTTTGTATTCTGGAAGTTTATTTGAACCATTAGAGGTATCATCCCTTTGTTTCATATGATACCCCAGGTTATGGGTGGTGGTGGACCATGGGATGTTCCTGGTGATGATTTTGATATCTTTAGGAATGCTCAATCTCCTACCATTTCGTTGCAGTGGGTCTCGGGATCCTCTGCTTACTTCTGATGATGGCAATCTCAATTTGGCTGATATACAGTGAGTAATTCAAATACATCATTTGCCTAGGAAATGCCAATAGACACTAGTTATGCCACAAAGATCATATTTGTCCATTATTTTGACTGTCACCAGGTGACATTCCAGGTGGGCTGTAATTTCTAAATTTTTTGTTTCCCCCTGGATCCTTGAACTCTTGGACATTACAGTGACTGGGGCTGCCTTTGACTGTCTATTTCTGCCTTACTCATGATCATGTTCCATCTGATAATAGATATGTTGTTGATATTCTGGTTTTTGGAGCTCAGGTGATTATGAATCTGACATATACATGCTGTAAGAAACAGCTGTACAAAATGAATTGTATCATTTTGTGGATTTATCCCCAGCTCATATTGAGGACATGATTAAGTGGAAAGACTGAATCTGTACACAGAAGTATTTCTGGAGCTTCAGTTTTATCTTTAATAAACATCCTTACAGAAAACCACTGGGCTCTAACACAGCTGCATGTCTGCATATTATTATCTTCCTCCTTTGGGTAGTTCATATTCTCCAGTGTTAACTGTACTGTTATTTTATGTTTCTTGGTTCAAATTTTCATGTTGTGTTAGGTTTTTCTGAATATTTTACTTAAGTATTTATTTGTTAGTGTTGTGCTTTGAAAACAATGAATTAATCAGGTCATATGGTGTTTTCATCAAAATATTATTTAACTATATCATAGACTTTACACTGAAGTTGCCAATAGAGAGAATTTAATGTTTTAATTCTTATAGTGAGTTAATTGAAGTGTTACTTTTTAAGTGCCAAAATAGCAATTAAAGTAATGATCTGTGTTAGTTGTTAATATAAAGCTTTTTCTCTAATTTTAAATTAAATATTTACTCTTTATGAGCATTTTTGAGTTATATATGTTACTAATTTTAGTTTTTCAGTATAGTCAAGAAATATATAAATTGCAGAGAGCTCTAAATAATCCCCATCAAGAGAACAGCACCATGCAAAATGACAACTACTTAATGGAAGAAATGTTGAAAAATAAGTCTATAGATTATGATGCCCTCAAACATGATCTGGACACACTCAACAGAACACTGAACAGATGCTACCAGGAAACTAAATTTGTTTTAGATTCCAAACAGCACAGAGGTAAGGAGAGGATCTTGAATAAAAAAATGTTTTATTTTCTAATGTTTCCTCCCCAGAAGATTTGAAGTCCAATTAGCAGCTTAAAATGCTTGGGGTTAATGGCTTGGGGTTTTGTTATCTCATGGAGGGGCCTGGAACCCCACATATCTGTGTTTGAATTTGGAGAATCTTATAGCCTCTAGAAACTCAGTGGCTGTTCTGGCTTCTACTGCTCTATGAGGATGTAATTGTAAGTCAGCATAGCTGACAATTCAAGTTCTTTTTGTCCGTGGGCAAGGTTGAATCTCCAGCTTTGTTGCTGACAGAACATGGAAGTTTCCATTAAGAGTGCATTCACCAAATTCTTAGGCTGAAATGGACTCAGAGAATTTATATGGATGCAGTCATAAAAATGATTGTGTGTGTGTGTGTGTGTGTGTGTGTGTGTGTGTCTGTGTGTGTGTGTCTGTGTGTATTTTCCTTCTGCCTTGGTATGAGAGAGTTGGCCTGTTTGTGACCACAGTGAAGCTCACTGCAGCACATTATGGAACTTCAAAACAGTGTCCACAGTTGTGTAACTGTCAGTGACATAGTGAATGAGGCCAGAAAGATGAAAATATCAAGCTTTACAAGGAACCTTTCTTACCTTGTATTGTGACTGGTTAACTTTAATTGACCCAGTTTATCATTCATTATTAAATATTACTTTCAGAATTTAGAGCTTACGAAGAGCTTTTGCATATGATCTCGCTACACAATGGTAGGGATTAAAAATCATTACTATGTAAGGAATAATAATATCTTTCAAATTGCTGCATTATAAAATATGATAGAAAAAAGTGCCAAAAATTTTTGAAATATTTCAGACCCATAAAAAATATTATGTCACATTTTTAAAAATAACTTTATCTGCTGTAAATAGTAGCATATTGCTGTAGTCCCTGTCCTTAGGAGGCTGAGACAAGAGGATTATAATTTTAATGACAATCTGGACAGCTCAGCAAATTCCAGGGTAGCCTGAGCTACACAATGATACCTCTTCACAGGAAAACAAAGGTTGTAGATAAAGTTTGATATTAGAGCATGGCCATCCTCAGTCCCTCACTAAACAAAATAATCATATTGAGGTATTATTGCTACACAAATCGCACACATTTTAATGTATTTAACTTGACATGTTTGGGTATGTGGGCATATCACTGAAGGCATCAACATAATCAGGAGAGTAGACTAACACCTTCAAAAGCTCCCTCATGTGTCTCTTATTGCTCTTAAGGCAAGAACATTTAACACGGACCACAGCACAACCTTAAGTTCACAGTATGAGAGGATGAACTGGGACCACAGTACATTACCACAGGTCTAGAATTCCATCATCCTTGTAACTGCCTCTGTGCAGCAAGTGTTTGTTCCCCATACTCCAGCTCTCACAAGCCTCTGCTTCGGATAGTTGGGCTGTGTTAAAACCTCATCTGAGTTGAGCCATAAACTATGGTCCTGGGCCTGACTTTTTCACTTTGCACTCCATCCTCCAGTTCATCCATGTACGTCATTGGGTTGAGCACCTCTCTTTTAAGGTGTTTAGGTGTGAGACATGGTTTCAATCTGTAGCCCAGGCTGTATTAGAATCTACTGTATAGCCAAGGTTGACATGGAAGTCACTACTTAGCCTAGGCTGGCCTCAAACTGGTAGTGATCCTCCTGTCTCACTCTGTGTAGAGCTCAGGTTGTAGGCCTAAGTCTTCATGCCCAGCCAAATTTAAAGGATAAATAGTTTTTCTTTGTGTGCATGTGCCACATTTTTTCTACTGATTTATCCACAGTGGACACATCATTTGTTTCTATATATCTACTGCTATAAAAAAAACACCCCATAGAGCATGGGTGTAAAGGCGTCTCTTAATATTCTGGAATTTAAATTTCTTAGAGCTCTGAAATTTTACTTAGTTATTGATGTTTAATTAAAACAGTGATCTAATAACAGAATATTAGAAAATAAAAATTTTCACCATCTACCTTCTCTGTTGTAGGCAAACGTGTTGAAGGACACTGGTTCTGCTGTGGCATAAAATGTTATTATTTCATAATGGACAATATACACTGGAATGAATGTGAACAGACCTGCCGGGACTGCAGCTTATCCCTTTTGAAGATAGATGATGATGATGAACTGGTACTGTAAACTCTTAACATGTCCATTTCTTCTCTTAGACTCTGTCTCTAACCCTTGGATAGTGAGATACTAAGTCCAGGCAGGTTTATTGAAAGAGAGACCTCTAAGTGTTGTACATGGTTTGCCTGTAATGTGAGCAAAAACTGTGCAGTAAGAGTATCCTAGGCTACTCCTTCCTGCACCTGGCTTAGTGTCAGGACACAGGGTCTGTTATGAGAAGACTCATTAAAGAAACAGCCATGTCTTTGTAATCTCCTCTCTCTTAGAAGTCTGCAAGAGAGTCCCTCAGAGGAGCATGTTTTCCAAAATAAATTTAAACCTTTGGTACAGTACACCCTGTGAGTGACAGTTATGTATCTCCATAGAGTGCCAGCTACACCCAGTGACGTCTTGGTCTAGGGCTTGCTCTTTGGATCCCACATGTGAGACTGCCTGAGATGAGTAATTGGATGACAATAGAGAAAGTAACTGACCTCTGGGGCAATTTGCAAAATGGAAATTATATGAGAACTGTGGAACCAAGTAGTTTTACCAGGTAGCTCCAATGTGATTGTCAGCGAAACTCTCCATAAACTTTACTTCATACTATTTTTTTTGTTTTTTTAAAAAGATATCTATTTTTAGAAATAAGTAATTAAATGAAAAAAAAGGTGCCAAGATGTGGACATTTTCTATTTAAATTATTCCTAACAAAATCTCTTCCAATATGAAGACAATATTTTTCTAGAAAAATGCTTGCAGGATCAGCTTGAAAACTTTGTCATTTAGAACATTTTACATAATTTGTACACCAATTTAATACATGTATAAAAATTACAACAAAATAATTTTTAATGTCAAATAATGTGATTTGCCATTTGATGTATTAATCATAATTAAATTTATAATTAAATTTAACCCATATTTTAAATATGTTCAAAAATTTAAGTAGACATCATGCCACTTGGATGTCTCATGTAAGGCATTAAGGTTTTCCAAATATCTGTCCCTTTCCTCCTCAATTTCTCTCACTTCCAGGTCTGAACTTCAGAATGGCTTCCTCTTTGGAGCATGGAACTTAATGCTTTTCACATAGTACTTTTCACTTAATGAATTTGCTATTAAGACAGGGTGTTACTTACCATATGAACACTTCCCACATGCCTCTGTGGTCTTTGGGAACGCACAGTTGAATAATTTAATACAGTGTCAGAAATTATTTAATGAGCCATGTATGCAGTGTGCTGGTTTATAGGAGTCACAGCAGTAATATTGTGAATTCAGGGTCAACCTTGGTTATATAGTGAGACTTGGTCTAAAGACATAAATCATTTCATGAACCTAGTATCCCTAGACACCTGAGGTTTTAAATAACTTACATAACTGACATTGGTTTTGACATAAATGAGCTACTCTTGGAAATCACTTTAAAAATGAGCTTGGAGGGAAGGAAGCACTGGAGGACAGGACAGCAGAGACCTGACATAACAATAGCTGGGGCCTCTCATGTTGTTATTTTTTCACCAGCCACAGGGAAATTTCATCATCAGATGAGTTCTTTTTTTTTTTTTTCTCTTACAGAAGTTCCTTCAGCTCCAAATTAAGCCAAACACTTACTGGATTGGGTTATCATATGACACAAGAACAAAGAAATGGCAATGGAGTGACGGTGGCCCATCTAAACTGTGAGTTTCCCAAGTCCTCACACTCTAACTTGGTGCAGAATTGGGAGGATTGTGTGCAAAGGCTTTTCTCTCATTTCACAAAGCTTTTCTCTTTGTCAATGGAACTAACAGCTAAGGATAAGATGCACAGGGCAGTATTTGAGCAAGCATTAGACAGGGAAGAGGAACAGTCTAGAAGCTGACTGCTAGTGATGTAATAATGAACACAGCTAAGGATTGTGTGCTCTAAGATATAGAGAACACAAGCAAATCAACAACTTAAGATCATTTGAAAGTCACTAGATCATCCTGATAGGTAGTATAAGTATGAATATTTGAAACTTTCAGTTCATTTGTTTTGGTAGTTAGTTTATATAAATTGCTTCTTATTTATAAATATAAGAACATTTTTGCATATGTATATGTATATATGTATATCTACCTTCCATTTCAAGATGTCATATGTTGACTCCAAATTTTATGTTAATTTATAATCTGGTAGAAAACTATTCATTGATTATCTTTATTAGGAATATTTCTTTTTCTTGAATATATCTCATATACATAAAATAAAATATGATCATATCCTTCCCCAAAGCCCCAAGATTCCTCTGCTTCTGTTTAACATGTGCCTCTCTAACTCCTGTTTTCTTAATTGCTGCTGTCCCTAGGTGCATGGTAGGGCATCCACTGGAGCAAGGATACATACCGGTGGCCACACCCCCCCAAAAGAGTGAATCTCCCTTTTCCAGCAGCCACCACCTAACAATAGTCATTCCTTACATGGTCGTATATGCCTCCTCATCTGTGCAGGAATTTTGTCATGTCCAGAACATGCTTTTTACAGTACTTTTTCCGTCTCTGGTTCTTACATCCTTTCTGTTTCCTCTTCCTTCCTATTTCCTGTGTGGGAGTGGTGGTTTTTGGGGAAAGAGGTTCATGAAGATGACCCCTTTATGGCTGAGCACATACTCTCTTCTCCTAAGCACTTTGACCAGTTCTGCTTCTCTGCAATGACCACTGACCACTGCCAAAGAAACTTCTCTGATGGAGGTTGGGAGCAATGCAGGTACAGACCATAAACATAAATATTAAAAATGAAACTTGACCATGTGACCACTTAGCAAAATGATAGTAGTTGGTTCCATACTAGAGCGCATGACCTCTGCAATCGTGGGCTTTTGATTTGGATTATAATATCAAACATGACATATTGCCCAGCAGGTCAGTATTGTGGCATGCAGGGTCCAGTGCTGAGTAAGACCATTCAAATCTTCTCTCCCTTTGGAACTGTGAATGTAATTGGCCCACATAATCTCATAGGGAGTGGAACTATTAGTAGGTGTGGCTTTGTTGGAGTGGGTGGGGTCTTATTGGAGGAAATATGTCACTGTGGGAGTGTACTGGAAGAAACATGTCACTGTGGGACTGGGCTTTGAGGTTTCCTGTGCTCTGGAGACCACTGAGTGTGTCAGCAGAATTCCTGTAGCCTGCATATCAAGAGGTAGCCAGCACCAAGTCTGCCAGCACACTGCCATGTTCCCCACCATAATGATAATGGACTGAAGTTCTGAAACTGTAAGTGAGGCACCCCAATTAGATGTTTTCTTTATCAGAGTTGCTGAGGTCATAGTGTCTTTTCACAGCAGTAAAAACCGTAGCTAAGGCACTCCCCTAGTAACCTGCACAGGACCTTTTGACCCATTGAAAGATCGCCTAAGGGAAGATATTTCCTCATTGGTTTGAGATTGATTTCTTCATGTCCTGACACCAAATGTGTGGTGTCTTCAGAAATAGGGTGTTTCCATGTAGTTATGGTGGAAAACCAAGGGCACAGCAGCAGCTTGGTTGTTTGGAGGCAGCTGTGGTCTCCCTGACTGGTGATTCCTTTGGAGGTATCCTTTGCCTTGCACTTTGATTTTCACTTAATAACTCATATTTTCTGTGGATCTAACTCTTTTCTAAATTATAATTTTGATATTTTTAAATTATGTTTCCATAGAATATATTTTGATCAGGTTTTCCTCTCCCCCTTAATACCCAGTTCCTCACCTCCTCCTTTCCTATGCACTCAATTTTGTGTTATTTTTCTCTCTCTCCCCCAAAACAAAAACAGAAAATAAAATCAAACTAAAAAAAATCTAGCAAGACAAAAATTACCTAAAATAAAGAAAAAAAGCAACACACAAAACTTCCCAAACCATACACACACATACACACACACACACACAAAGGAGTCTGTTTTGTGTAGGTCAGCTTCTGGGTCTCCCTAGGCCTTTTATACATTCTTAGTTTTGGTTGACCCTTCCTTTATTCTCTCCTGTCCATTATTTTCCAGTACTCATTCAATTTTATCCTTTAATCCTCAGAACCCCTTCTCTGCCTTCATATCACATATTCATCATTTTTCATGATTATTGATTTTTTTAGAAATACAAATTTAAAAAAAAATCCCCTAATAATTCTGTGTTTGTCCTTTAAAAACTATTTTAGCTAGTTACATTTCAAGTTGCCTTTTATAATTATTTAAAAATAAATTTAATTTTTATTGTTTTGTTGTTGTTTTGAAAGAGATTTGTGTTCCCAGGCTGGTCTTGAACTCTTGATCCTTGTATTTCCATCTCTCAAGTGCTGAGACTACTGGTAGGTGTGACTATCTTTTATCCCATTAAAGATATCAACCATACTTATTTTACATGTGTTAGTTGGTAATCCTATTGTCTGTACTTTTTTGGGCTTAATGTACTGTTCCTGCTGGATTTTGTTCATTGTGACATTTTCTTTGTGGTATTCTGTGAATTTCTTCTTCAGCTGATATAAAAACTATCCGAGGCATCAACAGTGGTAACTTTCTCAGAAACTTTTCATTCGGTGCCTTAGAACATGGCAGGTCTGGCTCACTTCGATTTAAACGTGGTCCTGCCATTGTGGACAGTTAGGTTCCAAATCTGCAGAAAGATAAATTTCTCTTTTATCCAAGGGAATTCTCAAGCAGGCTGTCACAGAGGTGGCCAGACTGTCACAGAGGTGGCTGGACTGTCACAGAGGTAGCTGGACTGTCACAGAGGTGGCCAGATGACAGAAGACCTTACATAATGTATTGATATGTACAAATCATACAGATTATCACTATTGTTATTAATTTGTTTTTTCTAAAGGAAGTATCATTTCATACAGGCTAGCTCTGCTCCTTTGCATCTACCCCCCAAGCACTAGAATTTTTGGTGTTTGCCATTGTGAAGACCACAGAGTTAATGAATTTGTTTGTATCTTACAGCACCAAACAGAGTGATATGAGCATGTGGTAATATTTAGAGTCAGGTTCTAGCAGTGAAAGCATGTCTGCATCCAGATTAAGTGATCTTTGTAGACCTTGACTATGTTACAGAACTGTTCCCTGATTATGTTATGACTACTGGACCTAAACATGAGGCTTCTGTCAGGACGTCCAGTGGTCAGAAGGTTTCTGTGGCCACCACAAGTATTTTCTCCAGTGGGAAGACACAGAAGCTTGTACATCTGCTTACAATGTCAGCTTCTAATGAACCTAGTGAGAAACTGTGAGCTTGTGTTTCTTGGTAGAAGTCTATGAAGGCATCACCATGGAGGGAAATTTAAGAGCTCATGATGTAGAATATGTGCTCCATGTGTATCTTGTGAATAGTTACTGTATCCTGTGTCTTTTCCTCTTTGCCCATGTTCAACACACATGTTTTAATGATTGTACCATAATCATATATTATGGCTGACTAATGTATATAATCATTCCTGCTGTACCTTACCTGTTTTTTATATGATCCATGGGCCACTTAGTTTCATTTATCTTCCTATTGTAAATCTAAATCCGCTATTTCTACCAGGCTTAAATCCAATGTTAAATGAAGGCGATCTTTTGTTAAAGTTTTATTCCTTTGCCGTTTTAGTCCCATGGAGTTGGGTGGATTTCATTCTCTGTCTGGTATTCTTTGACAAAGAGTCTCATTAGGCTAGCTTGGGTCAAACTCACTGTATTTCCCTAACTGGCCTTGAAATCCTTATACTCCTGGATTCATTATTTGGTGTTTGAATGATCATTTTCTGAAGAGTCACTAATTATTTTACCCTGCCTATTAGTAGAAAGATTGGCTGTCATGTTTAATGATGTTTTGGGAGTCTTAGATTTACTGAAGCCTCAGACTGTATAGGAATCAAATTTCTGCCTGTTCATAAATGAACTGAATTCAGTTTTAGTTGATCAGGGTCTTGCTCCATAGCCCACTCTATTCTGGTTTATAATCCTCTAAATCAGCTTCCCAAGTGCTAGGTTACAGTCATGTATCATCTTTCTTTGTTTTTTTTTCCTTTGGATTTTTCAATAGGGTTTCTCTGTGTAGTCTTGGCTGTCCTGGAACTCTCTCTGTAAACCAGGTTGGTCTTGAACTCACTGAGATCCACCTGCCTCTGCCGCCCAAGGGCTGGGATTAAAGGCATGTAATCCCACCACCTCCCGGTTAACATTTTGAATTATCTTTCACAGGAAGTTAGTTGAGGATTTAGTATTCATCGTCCATCAGAGATGGCAGTTGTGTTGCACACAGGGAAGTCAGATGATCACCATGTTTAAAGGAAGTCCCAATAGCTCTGAGGAGGGGGAGGAAAGAGAAAATCAACCAAAACAACATTTAATAACGCTCTTCTATGACTATTCTACAAATGTCTCTTTCTTCTCAAAATGTGTGCATATAAGACCTTGTCCTGTATGCCACATGCATTTATTTCTTCTTGTTAAACTGTCTTATTGTAAAAAAAAAAATCAGAGGAAAACATTTTAGTGTAAAATTGTTCCATGGAAATACTCAAAATTAATTTAACTTGCTCACACAAAAAAAAATTAACAGTGTGAAGTAGATAAGAACCTAAGTTGTGATCAAAAGATCATTTTTATTTTTCATTTTATTCCATTTATTTTTGTGGACGTATTCACATGTACTGTGACATACAGGTCACAGCACAGGTACAGTTAGAGGAGCATTGAAAGAGTC